AAATCACTTATTGCATATTCTTCTGTAAGTCATACAGCACTTGTTATTATGGCTATCCACATTCAAACCCCCTGAAGCTTTACGGGTGCTATTACCCTCATAATTGCCCATGGACTTCCTTCGTCCTTACTGCTTTGCCTAGCAAATTCAAACTATGAGCAAATCCATAGCCAAATCATTTTACTCTCTCGAGGGCTTCAAACACTACTCCCACTAACAGCCTTTTGATGACTTAGAGCAAATCTTACTAACCTTGCCTTACCCCCACACCATTAATCTAATGGAATAACTCTTTGTAATGGTGGCTTCATTCTCCTGATCAAACATCACCATTATGCTTATAAAACTTAATATTAATCACAGCCCTTTGTTCCCTGTACATACTTATCACAATACAACAAGGAACACTTACACGTTACATTAATAGCATTAAACCTTCCTCTATACGAGAAAATATACTAATACTCATACACCTTGCACCTATTCTATCGTCCCTAAACCCTAAGATTACTATAGGTTTTATACCCTGTAAATATAGTTTAATCAAAACATTAGATTATGTGTCTAGTAATAGAAGTCTGCAACTTCTTATTTACTGAGAAAGTATTCAAGGACTGCTAACTCCTGCCCACATGCCTAACAACACTCAAGTTTTAGAGGATAAGAACTATCCATTGGTCTTTGGAACTAAAAATATTGGTGCAACTCCAAATAAAAGCAATAATCACGTATTTTTCCATTACTATAATAACCTTAGTCTCCTTAACCTTACCAATTATTACCCTCACAAGAACTTATATCCATATTATGTAAAAATATCTATCGCGTTCACCTTCACCGTTAGCCTCATTCTCACATTTATGTATATAGACCAAGAAGCCATCATCTCAAACTGATATTGAATAATAGTCCAAACCCTTAAACTCTCACTAAACTTCAAACTAGACTACTTCTCCATAAAATTTATCCCAGTAGCACTATTTGTCACCTGATCTGTTATACAATTCTTGATATATAAAATAAGATCCTAACATTAATCAATTTTTCAAATATTTATTTTCCTCACCACAATATTAATTCTTGTTACCAACAACAACCTTTTTCAACTTTTTATCGGATGAGAAGGCATAGGAATTATGTCTGTTTTACTAACTGGTTGATGACTAGCCGAGCAGATGCTAATACAGCAGCCCTCCAAGTGATTCTGTATAACCGCTATAACTAAAACCGCTATTTTAGTTATAGCATGATTCCTCTCATTCTCCAATACATGAGAACCTCAACGGGCATTTATCCTAAATCCTACCCCCGATCTTCTTCCCTTAATTGGCCTTCTCTTAGCAGCAGTGGGAAAGTCAGCTCAATTTGGCCTCTACCCCGACTTCCTTCCACCATGGAAGGCCCAACCCCAGTCTCAGCCCTACTCCACTCTAGTGCTATAGTTGTAGCAGGAATTTTCCTGCTTATCCATTCCACCCCTTAATAGAAAATAATATATTAATCCAAACCCTTACAGTGTATTTAGGGGATACTACCACCTTATTTCCAGCAATTTGTGCTCTAACACAAAATGTGATCAACAAAATTGTAGCATTCTCCACCTCAAGGCAACTAGGCCTTATAATAGTCACAATTGGCATGAAACAACCACACCTAGCATTCCTACACATCTGCACCCATGCCTTTTTTAAAGCTATATTATTTATATGTTCAGGATCCATCATCCATAACCTCAACGATGAACAAGATATCCGAAAAACAGGAGGACTATTTAAGACTTTACCCCTTACTTCCTATTCCCTTTAGTATTGGCAGCCTAGCACTCATGGGTATGCCTTTCCTCACAGGCTTTTTCTCTAAAGATCTCATTATCAAAACTGCAAACACATCACATACCAATGCCTGAGCCCTCTCTATTACTCTTATTGCCACCTCCCTAACAAGTGTCTATAATATCCAAATTATTTTCTTCACTCTAATGGGACAACCCCACTTCCCAACCCTAATCAGCATTGACAAAAATAACCCTTCCCTAATAAACCCAATTAAATGCCTTATAGTCGGCATTATCTTCGCTGGGTTTCTCATCACCAATAGCATTATCCCTACTTCATCCCCCCAAAACAACAATACCACCCCCCTAAAACGTACAGGCCGAGCTGCAACCATCCTAGTTGCAATGGAACTTAGTTTTATAACTAATAATCTTAAGACAAAATATCCATTACAAACATTCAACTTCTCCAATATATTAGGATTCTACTCAATCACAATTCACCGTACAACCCCTCACTCAAACCTATCTATAAGCCAAAACCTGCCATCACTTCTGCTAGATCTAATTTGACTAGAAAAGTCCATACCAAAGACAATTTCACAGAGCCAAATCACAGCCTCCATTACCATAACTACTCAAAAAGGTCTAATTAAATTTTATTTCTTCTTTTTTATTCCATCCTTTTTAACTTTACTTTTAATTATCTAATCTATCACTCCAAGTAATTTCAACTGCAACATAAATACCAACAATGTTCAACCACCAACTACCACCAACGAACACCCATAATTATAGAAAGCACCCACACCTGCAGAATCCTAATGTATCAAACCTGGCCCCTCACCCTCAAAAATTATTCAACTTCCCACACTAATAAAATTAACTATGATGACCACCCCATCATACTTCAACTACAAAACCATCATTGTACTTCAACTCTAAGAACACTAATGACCATTATATGTAAAATAAACCCACTAATAAAATCATTAATTACACATCCATTGATCTCCCCACACCATCTAATATCTCTGTATGTTGAAACTTTGGCTCACTTCTCAGTACCTGCTTAATCCTCCAGATCATCACAGCGTTATTTCTGGCCATACACTACCCACCAGATACCCCAACTGCTTTCTCTTCTGTTGCCCATATTAACCGAGATGTGGACTATGGCTGAAAAGTCCACGATTTTCACACTAACGGCTCTTCAACATTCTTCATCTGCCTTTTCCTACATGTAGGTCGAGGCTTATATTATGGGTCATTCATATGCTTTAGGAACCTGAAACACTGGCATTCTCCTCCTACTCACAACCACAGCAACAGCATTTATACGCTATGTGCTTTCATGAGGCCAAATATCATTCTGAGGCACTACGGTAATCACAAACCTACTATCAGCCATCCCATATATTGGAACTGACCCTGTCCAATGAATTGGAGGTGGATTTTCAGTTGACAAAGTCACTCTTACACGATTCTTCACCTTCCACTTCATCTTACCTTTTGTCATGATAGCCCTAACACTTCTCCACCTTTTTCTCCTACATGAAACAGGGTCTAATAACCCTTCAGGAATTTCACCACATTCTGACAAAATCACTGTCCACCCTTACTATACAATCAAAGATATTCTAGGTTTTTCTCCTCCTCCTTTTAATAATTCTAGTACTGTTTCTGCCTGACCTCCTGAGCAACCCAGATAATTACACCTTAGTCAACCCCTAAATACCCCGCCCCACATAAAACCATAGTGATACTTCTTTTTATTTGCATATGCAATCTTATGATCCATCCCCAATAAACTAGGAGGTGTACTGGCCCTTCTATTATCCATTCTCCTTCTAGCAGTTGTTCCTGCACTCCACACATCCAAACAACAAAGCATAATATTCCACCCATTAAGGCAATATCTGTTCTGAATCTTACTCACCAACCTATTCACCCTCATATGGATTGGAGGACAGCCAAGAACATCCTTTCATTACCATTGGACAGATGGCATCTATGATATGTTTCTCTATTATTCTTGTTCTCGTACCACTCACTGCCCTAATCAAGGATAAACTACTTAAATGAAACTGCCCTTATAGTATAATCCAATACGCCAGTCTTGTAAACCAGAAATGGAGAGTCCCCCAGGGAAACTCAGAGAAAAAGCATTCCTGCTTCACCATCAACACCCAAAGCTGAGATTCTAATTAAACTATTCTCTGTATTCTTTTCGACATGCATTTTAACTACTATGTAAGTACTGACCATCAGCACTGATACATTAATACTTTTATGTACTTCATGCATTACTGCTAGTCCCCATGAATAATATATAGTACTATCAATGCTTGATTGTACACAGTACATTCAGAGATTTTATGACATTATAAGCTTGCTCCACATGCATATAAGCAATTATTAGCAATTTCTTAACTATCATATATAATACTATACTTACATATAGAACTAGTTCCATATGAATATCGACCAGTACTCAAAGTTCTTAATATTACATAGTACAATCATTTGTTCATTGGACATAGCACATTTCAGTCAAAACCACCCTTGCCAGCATGGATATCTCCTACCAAATTTTGGTCTCTTAGTCTACCAACCTCTGAGAAATCATCATCCCACTTGGGCATGTAACCCTCCTCACTCCAGGCCCGTAATACTTGGAGGTGACTATACTTCAACTGTACCTGGCATTTGGTTCTTACCTCGGGTCATAAAACTAAGATTGCCCACACGTTCGCCTTAAATAAGACACCTCGATGGACGAGTGACTCTCACCCTATTAACCAGTCACAGGAGCACTGTCATGCATTTGGTATTTTTAACTTTTGGGATCACTCACCATCGCGAAAGGCCTGGTACCCTCGCCATTGGCTGTAGTCGTACTTGGATTTGATTTCCACCAAACCAATTGTAGAAATCGCACCTACTCCTCAGGTGATCCACACAACTCGGCCTCCCAAAATGCTGGGATTACAGGCATGAGTGACTGTGTCCAGCACTTTCTTCAACTTAAAAAAAAGATTTTTTTGACCAGGCACAGTGGTCACGCCTGTAATCCCAACACTTGGGGAGGCTGAGGTGGAAAGATCGCTTGAGCCCAGGAGTTCAAGACCAGCCTGGGTAACATAGGGAAACCACTTCTTCCCTAAAAATACCAAAAATTAGCCAAGCGTGGTGGTGCGTGCCTGCATCCCCTGCAGCCCAGCTACTTGGAAGGCTGAAATGGGAGGACTGCTTGAGCCAGGAGTTCAGGGCTGCAGTGAGCTACACCTTAAGGCAGGGTAGGCAGTCAAGGAAGCGAACATGTCCTTGAGATGTGCCAATCAGGGCACTGAGACACGTGATGTGTGAACCACCATGTACAGCTACTGCACATATGCACCCAAAGGACAGCCCAAAACATGCTTATACCTCTTTCCATGCAGAGGCTGCCATGAGGCAGGAGCTGGCCCTGGAGTGGCCGTATTGACCTCAACTTGGGCCCGGAGAGGCCGACTGGAGGAAATGCTGGGCCTGGAGAGGATGCAAAGCAGGAAACGCTAGGCCTGGAAAGGCTGCCATCGAGGCATGAGCTTGGCCTACGGAGGCCACTAGGAGGCAGGAGCTGGGCCTGCAGAGGCCACCAAAAGGCAGGAGCTTGGCCTGAGGGGGAAACAGCGAGGCAAGAGGCAGGACTGGTGAGGGCCCACTGTGAGCTAGAGGCTGGGCTTGGAAAGGCCACCCACAGGTAGGGGCTGGGCCTGGAGAGGCCATGAGAGGCATGAGCTGGGCCCCAATGGGCCAGCGTGAGGGTGAACCTCGGCCCAGTGAGGCCAGTGTGAGGCAGGAGCTCACACCTCTGGGTGGGCTGCGAGAGCATTAGTTGGGCCAAAACAGGCCATGGTGCTGGAGGAGCTGAGCCTGTCGAGGCTGCCGGAGGGCAGGCAGGCAGGAACCGAGGTGTCTGCTGGGTGCACAAGGGGCCTTCCTACCAGAGGGCAGGCCAGATAAGGGTCAGGCTGTCAGGGTGCTCACTCCTGGTGCTTTGGCTCTTGTAGGTGCAGCTCAGTGCACAGACGTCACTGGGGCCTGTGTCTGACTTCTACACATTCCTAGTGGGGATCTGCACTGTGGCTGTCACTGAGAGCCAGTTCCTCATCAATGGGAAACCTTTGTATTTTCACGGCTTCAACAAACACGAGGATGCAGATGTACATTGGCACTCCTAGGTCCTCATGGGGTCTGCTTCTGGTCACCTTTCACTTTCGCCTTCCCTGTGTCCCACAGTTGAGGGCAATGAGGCAAATGGCTCCAAACTGCCTTGTGGTGGAGCTGGTGCTTGGGCTGGAGAGGGGGCTCGTGGGGTGGCTCTCCAGGGTCCTAGTTCTTGGAGGAAGTGCAACTTTGACAGGGAAAGGGTCACATGGCTCTGCTGTCTCCTAGATCTGAGGGAAGGGCTTTGATGGGCTGCTGCTGGTGAAGGACTTCAACCTGCTTTGCTTCCTTGGTGTCAACTCCTTCTGCACCAGCTACTACCCCTACGTGGAAGAAGTGCTGCCGATGTGCGACTGTTATGGGACTGTGGTCATCGATGACTGTCCTGCCGTGGGCCTGGTGCTGCCGTGAGTTTCCACTGTGCACCTGCTCTGCCTGTGCAGCCCACGGGCCACACCGTGACCCTCTGACCCTTCCCTCCTGGCCTGCAAGCAGCTTTTCAACAACGTGTCTCTGCATGAACACATGCGGGTGATGGAGGAACTGGTGCGCAGGGACAAGAACCACCCCACCATCGTGATGTGGCCTGTGGCTGAGTCTGCATCCTACTTGGAATCTGCTGGCTAGTACTTCAAGTGAGTGCCCCCTTCCTGCCCTGGGCTAGATTGGGAAGGAGACGCTGGCAGATGGCAGGCTGGGATGGGCGTGTGTAGTTTGAGACCAGCCTCCCATCCCAACCCAATGGGAGGGCCCTCCATACCTGGACAGTTCAGGGGATCAAATGTCTACCCACCCAAATTGTGGTTTTATTTTCCTTTCTTTTTTAGTTTTTTTTTGAGACAGAGTCTCGCTGTGTTGTCCAGGCTGGAGTGTGGTGGCGCGATTTCAGTGCACTACAACCTCTGCCTCCTGGGTTCAAGTGATTCTCCTGCCTCAGCCTTCTGAGTAGCTGGAATTACAGGCACACATGAGCCACTGCACCTGGCCCTTTTTTTCTTTCTTTTTTTTTTTTTTGAGACGGAGTCTCGCTCTGCCGCCCAGGCTGGAGTGCAGTGGCCGGATCTCAGCTCACTGCAAGCTCCGCCTCCCGGGTTTACGCCATTCTCCGGCCTCAGCCTCCCGAGTAGCTGGGACTACAGGCACCCGCCACCACGCCCGGCTAGTTTTTTGTATTTTTAGTAGAGACGGGGTTTCACTGTGTTAGCCAGGATGGTCTCGATCTCCTGACCTCGTGATCCGCCCGTCTCGGCCTCCCAAAGTGCTGGGATTACAGGCTTGAGCCACCGCGCCCGGCCTGGCCCTTTTTTTCAAAATGGGGTCTCAGTCTGGTTGCCCAGGCTGCAGTGCAGTGGTGTGATCTCGGCTCAATGCAGCCTCGACTTCCCAGGCAGGTGATCCTCCTGTCTCAGCCTCCCAAGGAGCTGTGATTATAGATGTGTGCCACCATGCCCAGCTAATTGTTGCTTTTTTTTGAGATGGAGTCTCACTCTGATGCCCAGGCTGGAGTGCAGTAGCATGATCTCGGCTCACTGCAACCTCCGCTTCCCAGGTTCAAGCGAGTCACCAGCTTCAGCTTCCTGAGTAGCTGAGATTACAGACATGTGCCACCACAGCCAGCTAACTTTTGCATTTTTTAGTAGAGATAGTGTTTTGCCACGTTGGCCCGGCTGGTCTTGGACTCCTGATCTCAGGTGATCTGCCTGCCTCAGCCTCCCAAAGTGCTGGGATTACAGGTGTAAACCACTGTGCCTGGCTAATTTTTGTATTTTTAGCAGAGATGGGGTTTCAGCATGTTAGCGAGGCTGGCCTTGAACTGGCCTTATGTGATCTCCCTGCCTCAGCCTCCCAAAGTGCTGGGATTACAGGTATGAGTGACCGTGCCTGGCCCCCTTTTCTTCCTTACAATCATGCAGTTCTAACTCAGTGTTCAGAGGTAGGTTTTTCACTTGTGGTAGAGGCAGAGGAGGTTGTAGAAATGCTCCTTGAGGCAGACGCCACACCCCAGTTTCATGGAGTGCTTTGGGTTGAGCCAAGTCTGCAGTAGGCACAAGGCTGTGAGAAGTCGTCCCACCCTGTGCAAAGGACAGTTCAGAGCTGGGGGTACAGTGGTGTGCTCAGCAGGAATGGGTGGACAGGCCGGCCCTTTGTTGCAAAGGTGGAGAGCACAGGCTTCCAGGAGCAGGTGACTGACAGGCTTCTTTGGGAGGAGGCCAGAGGAGATGCCTGTTTTCCCGGGGCAGGAATTGAAGGGAGCCACCCAGGCTGGAGTGGTTTAGCCAGGCTGTCACAAGGCTTTGAAGCTTCCCATCTGAGAGCTGGGTTATTGGAGAATGTGGGTTTGGAACTTGAGGCTAGTGGGTTCTGTTCCATCCTGTGCCAGCCACAGCCTTTGAATGGGTAGAACAATGATAGGGGGAGGCTGTAAAAGAAGAAATGAACCTAGGAAAGAAAAGAGGAAAAGAGGCTTCAACAACAGTCTAGGCTAGACATGGTGGCTCATGCCTGTAATCCCAGCACTTTGGGAGGCCAAGACGGGTGGATCACCTGAGGTCAGGAGTTCAAGACCAGCCTGCCCAACAGATAGTGAAACCCCATTTCTGCTAAAAATACAAAAATAAGCCAGGTGTGCTGCTGTGAACCTGTCATCCTAGCTACTCGGGAGGCTGAAGCAGGAGAATCGCTGAAACCAGGAGGCGGAGGTTGCAGTGAGCTGAGACTGTGCCACTGTACTCCAGCCTGGGCTACAGAGTGAGACTCTTGTCTCTCCAAAAAAAATAGTCTGTTCTGTGGAGGATTCGGGTGGGTGCCGGGAGCTCTGACCATGGGTTCGTCCCTTTGTTAGGTTTTTCTTCCTTTCATCTCTCCTGGTTAACTCAACCTGGCGTAAAAGCCGTTTCTACTAAGAGGCTGTCCCTGACTCTCCAGTCCAAGTTACGTTTACTGTCACTCAGCGCCCAATTCCTGCCACCACTTGTCATTTCCATTTGCAACATTTCTTTCATTGTTTATTTTTCAGAGTCAGGGTCTTGCTCTGTTGCCCAGGATGGAGTACAGTGGTGCAATCATGACTCCTTGCCACCTCAACCTCCTAGGCTTAAGTGATCCTCCGCCTTCAGCTTCCCTAATAGCAGGGACCACAGTTGTGTGCAGCCATGTCAGGCTAAGTTTATTTATTTTTTTCCGTGAGATGAAGTCTCTTGCTCTGTCGCCTGGGTTGGAGAACAGTGGTGTGATCTCAACTCACTGCAACCTCTACCTCCTGGGTTCAAGCAATTCTCTTGCCTCAGCCCCCTGAGTAGCTAGGATTACAGGCGGGCACTACCAGGCCCAGCTAGGGTTTTTTGGGTATTTTTTGTAGAGACGGGGTTTCACCATGTTGGCCATTCTGGTCTCAAACTCTTGACCTCGTGATCCACCTGCCTCAGCCTCCCAAAGTACTGGAATTAAAGTCATGAGCCACCATGCCCTGCCCTAATTTATGCATTTGTTGCAGAAACAGGGTTTTGCTATCTTGCCCAGGCTGGTCTCGAACTCCTGGTCTCTAGTAAGCCTCCTGAAATGCTGGGATTCTAGGCGTGAGCCACCTTGCCTAGCACTTGCACCATTTCTCTGTGTACACGTTTCCACTCCCACTGCCTAGGACCTGTGGACTTAGATTTGAGTCACTACTGAGTACCTCACACCCAGCCCCATGCCTACCTCCCAGCCTGCACTCCCTGTTTGCTTGGTGCATTAATATCCCTCCTGAATCTGCATCCATCCACCTCCTGTGTTCAAGAGCTGTTTCAGGGAGTCAGTCTCATTTTTGGCAGTGGCCTGCCCAGTGACCTTAGCTCTGTGTACCTGGAAGGGTGGCTGCTCCTCTGGGGGGATAGGATTCGGAGGTCTGGGGGGAGAGTGATGTTAGAGAGCTCGGTCTAGGACTAGAGGATCATATGCCCTTACATAAAATACATCTCAAGTTAGGGATGAAAGCAGCAGCTCCGTGCTTTGTATTTTTTTCTTTGTTTTCTTTTCTTTGTTTGTTTTGAGACAGGGTCTTGCTCTGTGGACCAGGCTGGAGTGTAGTGGTGCAATCTCGGCCCACTGCAACCTCCATCTCCTGGGTTCAAGCACTTCTCGTGGCTCAGCCTCCTGAGGAGCTGGTGTTACAGACACGTGCCACCATGACTGGCTAATTTTTATATTTATAGTAGAGACGGGGTTTTGCTGTGCTGGCCAGGCTGAAAGCTGCCTCAAGATTCTCTGTGAAGGCCGGGCATAGTGGTTACGCCTGTAATCCCAGCACTTTAGGAGGCCAAGGCAGGCAGATCATTTGAGGTCAGGAGTTCGAGACCAGCCCAGCCAAGTGGTGAAACCTTCTTTCTACCAAGAATACAAAAAATTAGCTGGGCGTGGTGGTGTACCCCTTTAATCCCAGCTGCTCAGGAGGCTGAGGCACAGAGGTGCTTGGTCGTGGGTGGGAGAGGTTGTGGTGAGCCGAGATTGTGCCACTACATTCTAGCCTGGGTGACAGAGCGAGACTATGTCTCCAAAACAAAACCAAAATGATTTTCTGTGAGAATGACTGCATTGGCCCCTTGGATGGGAGCGCTTCTCCACTGCAAGGTGAGGGGAAGCCCAGTCATGGGACTGCTTCCTGTAGAAGAGTCAGTTCCAGTGGCAGGGGCCCAGGGCTTTGGCTGAGGACTGTGCATTGGCAGATGCTTTGCCTCTCACAGCCCTTCCCAGCTGCGCACATCATGAGTATCAGAGTGGAGTCACAGACCTGCCTCCTTTGGGCCTCTTTGTGACCATGTTTCCTGCCTGTGGAGCACGGTAATTTCAGGGTCTAAATTGGTACGCTTGGATGTTCTCAGCCCTAAGAGGCACCTCTTCCTGTTGTAGGGTGTTTCTGTTTGTTTGTTTGTTTGTTTTTAAGAAATGGGGTCTTGCGATTTTGCATGTGATCCTCCTGCCTCACCCTCACAAAGCGCTGGGAATAGAGGTGTGAGCCATTGCACCCAGCCACAAATCAAAATTTTGGGAGTCCTGTCATTGGCTCCCCCAGGCCCACAGGACAAAGCCCTAATCCCTGGTCAGGACACTCAGTGTCCTCTGCTCTCTCCTGGGATTTCATCCTATTCCCCTCACTCCCAGCCACTGATCTGTTTCAATTGTGTTTGTTTGTTCTCCTGCTGTTGCTTTAGCTGTTTCTTCTGCCTGGAATTCCCATGTTGGCACCATAACCACCTACTAAAATACCCTTTTTTTTCTTTAGAGATAGGGCTGGCTGGACATGGTGGCTCACACCTGTAATCCCAGCACTTCGGGAGGCCAAGATGGGAGGATCGCCTGAGGTTGGGAGTTCGAGACCATCCTGACCAGCATGGAGAAACCGCATCTCTACCAAAACCACAAAATTAGCTGGGTGTGGTGGTGCATGCCTGTAATCCCAGCTACTTGGGAGGCTAAGGCAGGAGAATCGCTTGAAGTTGGAGGCAGAAGTTGCAGTGAGCTGAGATCATGCCACTGCACGCCAGCCTGGGCAACAAGAGTGAAACTTCATCTGCAACAACAACAAAAAATACTTTAGAGATAGGATCTTGCTATGTTGCCCAGGCTGCTCTCGAACTCCTGGACTCAATTGATCTTCCTGCCTTGGCCACCCAAAGTGCTGGAATTACAAGACAAGGTATTTACCATGGCCCAAGCCACCCAAGGCAACCTCCCTGTGGCCATAGGCTTCCACCAAATCCCTGAGCAAATAGTGCAGTGTTGCCAGTCTGTGGTTTCATGTTGAACTAAGGATATTCTCACGTGCTGTTTAACTGTGTGCCTTGTTGACCACCTGTCTCCATCCTTTAATGACCCCTGTGGCCCACACGGCTCATGGGTAAAGGTGCGCTGGGCCTCAGATGCCCCCTCCCAGGGTGCGCTTCCAGGATTCAGCTCCTGGACAGGAATAGTCAGTCACCAGGGATAGGGTGGGACCAGGGCTGGGGCTCTCTTAGCTGCTGATGCCTGCTCACCTGACCCCTGGCACTGTTGCTACCCGCTATAGGTGGCTGAGGAGTGGGCCCAGGGCACCTTCAAACTCAACCCCAATGATGAGGACATTCACACAGCCAGTGAGCACCACCTGAAGGTACGACCCCTGGAACCCCACCGCTTTCCTGGTCTCCCCTCTCCACCTCGCCCAGGGCCATCATTCTGTTTACTCCCCCACTGGCAGACAGCTGGCGAGACCTCAGGACATGGGCCAGGCATGGAGGCTTATGCCTATAATCCTAGTGCTTTGGGAGACTAAGGTGGGAGGATTGCTTGAACCCAGGAGATGGAGGTTACATTGAGCAGAGATCCCATTGCACTCTAGCCTGTGTAACAGAGCAAGAGTCCACTGAAAAAAAAAAAAAGCAAAAAAGCAGTGTTTCTCGAAGCTAGTACCCCAACTAGCAGCACCAGCATCACCTCAGAACTCCTGAGAAATGTGAGGTGAGGACCCACTTTAGATGGCTGAATCAGAGATTCTGGGGGTGGTCCCCAGCAATTTGTATTCACTTTATTATGATTTTTTTTAATCTTTGAGATGGAGTTTTGCTCTTTTCGCCCAGGCTAGAGTGCAGCAGTGCCATCTCAGCTCACCGCAAACTCCACCTCCCGGGTTCAAGCGATTCTCCTGTCTCAGCCTCCCGAGTAGCTGGGATTACAGGCATGCACCACTACGCCTGGCTAATTTTGCATTTTTACTAGAGATGGGGTTTCACCACGTTGGTCAGGATGGTCTCAAACTCCCGACCTCAGGTGATCCACTCGCCTCAACCTCCCGAAGTGCTGGGATTACAGGTGTGAACCACCGTGGCTGTCCAGCAATTTGTATTTTTAATAAATTCTCCAGTTGTTAGGCCTGGTGGCTCACGCCTGTAATCACAGCACTTTGAGAGGCTGAGGCAGGAGCATTGGTTGAACCCGGGAATTCAAAACAAGCCTGAGCAACATAGCGAGACCCTGTCTCTAAAATAAAAAAAAATTAAATTAGTAGTCATGATGGTTTGTACCTGTGGTCTCAGGAGACTGATGTGGGAGGATCCCTTGAGCCCAGGAGGTCAAGGATGCAGAGAGCCATGATTGCACCATTGCACTCCAATCTGGGTGATGCAGCAAGACCTTGTCTCAAAAAAGCCCAAATCAACAACAACAAATTAGCAGGGCATAGTAGTGTGCGTGCCTTTATTCCCAGCTATTTGGGAGGTGGAGGCTGAAAGATCCCTTGAGTTCAGGCTGCAGTGAGCTATGATGGCTGCTGCACTCCAGCCTGGGCAACAGAGCAAGACCCTGTCTCCTAACAAAGAAAACTATTCTCCGGGAACATCTGATGCATGCTAAACATAAGGACTATTTGAAAACATAAAGGCCAGTAAAACCTAGAGGCCAGTAAGCATTAGTAGTGCATGTAAATGTTATCAATAATTATGAGAAGATGGTTCAAGCTGAGAGTGAGACAGAACCGAATGGGTAAGATAGGATCTGCCCAAGGCACTGACATCCTGGAAGAGGGACAGGTCCTGGGCCTAACAGCATCAGACGCCAGGGTGCCCAGGGCCCACCACTCATCCACTTACACCCCCAGGTTCACTGAGAGAACGTGGGACAGGCCCTGACCCCGACATGCTGGCCACTGACCTCTACTACCTTGTCCTCAAAGGGGTGAGTGTGTAGCAGCCAGAGGGAGGGTGAGAAGATGGGGTGCCCCTCAGAGGGCAGGGAAGCTCAGGAAGGGGTACAGGCAGCCTGGCCTGTGGCTCACATGTGTAATCCCAGCACTTTGGGAGGCCTAGGTGGGTGGGTCACTTGAGGCCAGCCTGGTCAACTTGGTAAAACCCTGTATCTACTAAAAATACAACAATTAGCCGGTTATGCTGGCACAGTCCTATGATCCCAGCTACTCAGGAGGCTGAGGCAGGAGAATCGCTTGAAGCTGGGAGGTAGGTGGAAGTTGCAGTGAGGTGAGATTGTGCCACTGCACTCCAGCCTGGGCGATAGAGCAAGACTTTGTATGGAAAAAAAAAAAAAAAAAAAAAAGGAATGGGCACCGGCAATGGAGGCAGATAAGGGCATGGAGGAAGCTGCCTCAGCGCCATCTCCTAGGAGGTGAGCCTAGGTGCCTGGAGGTCAGGGTTGCCTGGTGCTCTGGCCCACGTCTTCCTCTTTTCCCAGCCACCTGTTTTTAGGCAATGTGAGGCGTGTGTGCGAGTGTGGGCACAGTGTGGAGCAGTAAGGTGGTGTGGGTGGCCCTGTGTGCTCCAGGTTCAATGGGCAGATCTGCCAGGTGTGGGTGCTATTGCAGGCACAGCAGGCTTAGGTCCTCCCATGCCTGCCCCCAAATAAAGTGGGGGCAAGAGGAGGCTGTTGTGTATTTCCTGCCCTAGCCTGGTTCCTTCCTTGCTAGGCTTTCCAGGGCTGACCAGTGGGATGGTCAGGGACTGGAGAGGCAGGGCAGGGTGGCCTGTAATCCTAGCACTTCGGAAGGGCAAGGTGTGAGGATGCTTGAGGCCAGGAGTTTGAGACCAACCTGGGCAACCCAGGGAGACCCCTGTGTTATTACCTCTACCAAATAATAAAAATAATTAGCCCAGCATGGTGATGGATGCCTGTAAGTCCCAGCTACTTGTAAGGCTGAGGTGAGAGGATCAGTTGCACCCAGGAGTGGAGGCTGCAGTGAGCTATGTTCACACCACTGCATTCCAGCCTGGACAACAGAGTGAGACCCTGTCTCAAAAAAAAAAATCTTAAAAAAAATATGCTTTTGGAGTAAACTGGGCAAGGGCAGTAAGGGTGATAGATGGGAAGGGAAGAGGTGTCTCCCATCACAGCCTCTGCCCTGTCCAGGTCCCATTACTTTCAAACAGGGTATCACAGTGGCCTCCTATGCCAGGAGCAGTGGCTCACACCTGTAATCCTAGCACTTTTGGAGGCCTGGGCAACATAGCAAGACCCCAGCTAATACATTAATAAGAAAAAAATAGCCAAGTGGTCATGGTGGCTCACACCTGTAATCCCAGCACTGTAGGCTGAGGCTTGTGGATCACCTGAGGCCCCTAGTTGGAGACCAGCCTGGCCAACATGGTGAAAGCCTGTCTCTACTGAAAATACAACAATTAGCTGGGCCTGCTGGCAGGAGCCTGTAATCACAGCAACTGGAAAGACTGAGGCAGAATTGCTTGAACCCAGGAGATGAAGGTTGCAGTGAGCTGAGATCCCACAATTGCACTCCAGCTTGGGTGAAAAGAGCAAGCCCCTGTCTTAAACAAATAAAATGAAAAAAAAGGAGGAGGAGGAGTAAGAGGAAGAAGAAACAGCCAGACTCAGTGGCTCACTCCTGTAAACAAGGAGGCAAAGGAGGAGGAGGAGGAGAAGGGAGGCGTAGGAGAGGGAGGAGGAACAGCAGAAGCAGCAGCAGCCAGGGGTGGTGGCTCACGCCTGTAAAAGAGGAAGAGGAGGATGAGGAGGAGGAGGAGGAGGATGAGGAGGAGGAAAAGGAAACAGGCATGGTGGCTCACACCTGTAAAAGAGGAGGAGGAGGGGGAGGAAACATCCAGGCATGGTGACTCACACCTGTAAAGGAGGAGGAGGAGGAGGAGGAGGAAACAGCCAGGTGTGGTGGCTCACGCCTCTCGAAGAGGAGGAGGAGGAAACATCCAGGCATCATTGCTCACAGCTGAAAGGAGGAGGAGGAGGAAACAGCCAGGCGCGGTGGCTCACACCTGCAAAGGAGGAGGTGGAAGAGAAGAAGCAAAAGGAAACAGCCAGGTGCGATGACTCACACCTGTAACGGAGGAGAAGGAGGAAACAGGCACAGTGGCTCATGCGTGTAAAAGAGGAGGAGAAATAGGAGGAAACAGCCAGGTACAATGGCTCACGCCTGTAGAAGAGGAGGAGGAGGAGGAAATAACACCCAGTTGTGGCTGATGACTGTAAAAGATGGGGAAGGAGGAGAAAACAGTCTGACAAGGTGGCTCAGGCCTATAGAGGAGGAGGAGGAAGAAACAGCCAGACATGGTGGCTCACATCTGTAAGGGAGAATGAGGAGGAGAAAGAAATAGGCAGGCAGTGGCTCCCGCCTTTAAATGAGGAGGAGGAGGAGGAGGAAAAGAAAGAATCAGGAGAGGTGGCTCACACCTGTGGAGGAGGAGTAGGATGAGGAAATAGCCAGGCTTGATGGCTCCTGCCTGTAAAGGAGGAGGAGGAAGAGGAATAAACAGCCAGGCACGCTGGCTCCTGCCTTTAAATGAGGAGGAGGAGGGAAAAGCTGTCAGCTGTACCACAATTTGGAGGGCAGCATCCCAGATCTGCGGAGTGTTAGCTTCAGGCTGGTATGATCACTGAGCCTTTCAGGGCTGCCCCATCTTCCTACCAGGCTGCCCACTTCTTTTTTCTTTTTCTTTTAACTTTTTTTTTTTTTTTTTTTTTTTTTGGAGACAGAGTCTCCCTCTGTGGCCCAGGCTGGAGTGCAGTGGCGTGATCTCAGCTCACTGCAACCTCTGCCTCCTGGGTTCAAGTGGTTCTCTTCTCTCAGACTCCTGAGTAGCCGGGACTACAGGCACGCACCACCATGCCCAGCTAATTTTCTTGTATTTTTACTAGAGATGGGGTTTCACCATATTGACCAGGCTGGTCTTGAACTCCTGACCTTGTGATCTGCTTGCCTCAGCCTCCCAAAGTGCTGGGACTACAGGTGTGACCCACTGCGCCCGGCCTTAATTTTATTTTTTGTAGAAATGGGGGTCCCTTAAGTTTATTTTTTGTAGAGATGGGAGTCTCACTACGTTTCCCAGGTTGGTCTCAAATTCCTGTCCTCAAGTCATCTTCCCACATTGGCCTCCCAAAGTGCTGAGATTACAAGTGTGAGCCACTATGCACGACCTTAATTTTTGTATTTTGGTATTTAGTATTTTTGTATTTTTGGTAGAGACAGGGTTTTGCCATGGTATCTAACTCCCGGACTCCAGCAATGTGCCCACCTTGGCCTCCCAAAGTGCTGGGGTTACAGGCATGAGCCACTGTGCCTGGCCAAATAAAGGGGAATCTTGAGTCTCTTTGTATTAGTCCTTTCTTCATTGTACTCAAAGAATGCCTGGAACTGGGTAATTAATAAAGAAAAGAGATGTGTTTGCTCACTATTCTGCAGGCTGTACAGGAAGCATAGTATTGGCTATTTGTTTCCGGTGAGGCCTCAGGAAGCTTCCAATCATAGCAGAATGTATAAACCAAAATATATCTGAGACAGGTCTTGATCAATTTAGACAATTTATTTTGGGCTGGGTGCCATGGCTTATGCCTGTAATCCCAGCACTGTTAGGCTGAGGCAGGTAGATGACTTGAGGCCAGGAGTTTGAGACCGGCATGGAGAACGAAGTGAAACCGTGTCTCTACAAACTATACAAAAATTAGCTGTCATCCCAGCTACTCAAGAGGCTGAGGCAGGAGAAGTGCTTGATCCTGGGAGGCGAGATTGCAATAAGGCAAGATCATACCAGTGTACGCCAGTGTGGGCAATGAGTGAGTGAGATTCCCTCTTACCAAAAAAAAAAAAAAAAGTTTATTTTGCCAAAATTAAGGAGGCATGTCTGGGAGGCAGGTCCGTGTCTTTCTCCAAAGATTATTTTGAGGGGTTCAATATTTAAAAGAGAAAGGACGGATAATTGGGAAGGGAAGATATTTTGAAAAGGTGTGAGTAGATAAGAGACAAACGGTTGTATACTTTGGAGTCTGATCAGCCTTTCTATTTCCTTTTCCTTTTTATTTTTTTTTTGAGGCAGAGTTTTGCTCTTATTGCCCAGGTTGGGGTGCAATGGCTCCATTTTGGCTTACTGCAACCTCAAACTCCTGGGTTCAAGTGATTCTCTTGCCTTAGCCTCCCGAGTAGCTGGGATTACAGGGGACCGCCACCACGCCTAGCTAATTTTTGTATTTTTAGTAGAGATGGGATTTCACCATCTTGGCCAGGCTGGTCTCGAACTCCTAACCTCAGGTGATCCACTCGCCTCAGCCTTCCAAAGTGATGCCTGGCCTTTAATCAGACTTTCAGCAAATACATAATGTACATCTAGGGAAAGGGTAGAGGAATAGTCACTTAGGCCATTTCTTTTTTCTTTTTTTGGACAGAGTTTCGCTTCTGTTGCCCCGACTGGAGTGCAATGGTGCAACCTCGGCACACTGCAAACCTCTGCCAGCCCCAAGTTTCAAGCGATACTCCTGCTGCAGCCTCCCGAGTAGCTGTGATTATGGGTGCCTGCCACCACACTTGGCTAATTTTTGTATTTTTAGTAGAAACAGGGTTTCACTGGGTGTGGTGGCCCAAGCCTGTAATCCTAGCACTCAGGAGGCTGAGGCAGGCAGATTAGCTGAAGTCAGGAGTTCAAGACCAGTCTGACCAACATGGCAAAACCCTGTCTCTACTAAAACCCTGTCTCCACTAAAAATACAAAAATTAGCCAGGCAGTAGTGGCATGTGCCTATAATCCCAGCTACTCTGGAGGCTGAGGCAGGAGAATTGCTTGAACTTGGAAGGCAGAGGTTGCAATGTGCAGAGATTACACCACTGCACCGCAGCATGGGTGACAGAGCAAGACTCCGTCTCAAAAAAGAAAAAAAAATTGAAACGGGGTTTCACCATGTTGGGCAGGCAGGCCAGTCGTGAACTCCTGACCTCACATGATCCACCTGCCTCAGCCTCCCAAAATGCCGGGATTTCAGGCATGAGCTACCGCCCCTGGCCACT